CCCGCCGGCCGGCCAGCACGCAGCCTCCGCGCGCCCCCCCGCCCCCTATCCCCCAACCCACCTGCTGCAGCAGCGCCGTGCGCTCCGCCAGCAGCTGCTCCCCGCGCGACACCAGGGCCTCGTTGGCGGCGGCCAGCGCCTCCAGCTGCGCCACCGCGTCTTCCAGCCGCCCGGCGTCCGCGGCGCGCTCCGCCTCGGGGCCCGCCGGCTGGCCCTGCAGCAGCTGCGGGCCCGTGCCTGAGCGGCCGCCCTCGGCTGCGACGGCGGACCGCATTGAAGGCGCCCTGCTGCCCGCCACGAAGCTCTGCGTGCGCGGCTCGCCACTCTGCTGCTGCTGCGGCTGTTGCTGCTGTTGCTGCGCGGCCTGCAGCAGCGCGGCTTGCTGCGCCTGCACCTGCTGCTGCAGCACCTCCACCCGCCGCTGCCAGTCGAACACCAAGTCCTGGCACTCCCTTGTAATCGCATCCAACGCCTCCTCCAGGCCCAGCGCCTCAAGGCCAGCCTCCAGCTGCTCGGCGGCCGCCTCCTCCTGCCCAGCAGGCCCCCCCGCCTCTAGCCTGGCTGTCAGCAGCGTGCGCAGTGCGCCGCGGGCCGCCTCCAGGGCCCAGGCCAGCCACGAGGCCGACTGATCAAGCGCGGCAGCGAGGCGAGGCGCGCCCTTGGCCTCGGTTTCCGCCGCAGCGTCATCTTCGGGCGCAGGAACTGGCTCCCACTGCGCTTGCTGCTGCTGCTGCTGCTGCTGTGTGGCATTGCCGCTGCTGCGTTCCATCGCGCCCAGCTGCCGCGACCCCATCCGCAGCAACAAGGCGCCGCCGCCCGCAGCCGAGCTGCTGCGCGACGGCGCCAGCCCCGACGCCGAGGGCGAGCGGTGCGCCACAGAGCTGTCGCGCACGAGCTGCTGCGGCTGCGGCGGCGCAGGCAACCAGGGGTTCTGAGAGCTCCGAGGAGATGCGCGCGCGCTCCCACCAGCGAGCGCGCCCAGCAAACTTGGCGTTGGCTGGCGCAGCCTTGGAGACGGTGCCGCCGCGCTAGAGGGCGAGCGGGACAGCCCGACAAAGAAGGGGGCTGGCTGCTGGTGGGCCGAACTCATGGCGAGGTCAGGCTGTCGCGCCAGCGCCTGCGCCAGCTCGGCTGTGGTGTTTTTTTTGGGGGGGGGGGGGTGGGGGCGGCAGGCATGCGATTCGGCACGGGGATCACGGGGGGTTGTGCGATCAGGGG